CATAGGATTGTGTGAGGATTCAAGAAATACTACATGGAAAGCTCCCCAGTATATGGAAAGCACTCAGAAAGCACTTGCTGTTATTACTGCTATCGTTACAGCCATGATTGTTACTATCATTATTCTACAACCTGGCCCCTGCCTGGCTCCCAGCGTTATTTCCTGTCACTTTCTCTCATTTTACGCAAGTGCCTGCCAAGCTAAGCTACTCATTGCCCCCTGCGTTAACTTGAAGATTCTTTGCTTCTGTATTGTTCCCTGGCTGTGTGGAGGCTGAGTAACCACTTGGAGGGGATGTTGTAGAGGAAAATTCAAGCCACAGAAGGGAAACTGGGTTGAATGAGATCCCCTTTTACATTTCTTTTGGCTGTAAAGTTTCCATTGGATCAATAAAGCAAACAGGACAATTAGCAGCACAGCACTCTGCACTGAGCACAGGCGAGGGTGTTCTTTCACTCCTCTTTGCTTTCCTGCTACCCCCTGCTCGCCCTTCTCTTTGCACCATGTGGGGCCGTTCTGGGTGGGAGTCCTGGAGAAATATACTTCAACTAAAGATAAGGCAGAGATAGGCCTCAGTGGAAAGACTTGGTAGACAGACCTGGGCTTTTGATTAAGAGCAAATTGCTTAAATTCTCGGAGCCTCAATTTCTTTAGTAGTAAAATGGGGATATTACTACTCACTCCATAGGGTGAGAATGAAGTCAGATATTGTTTAAAAGGGCTTATAACTGAGGGTACAAGATATAGCTACTCTACTAAATATCCTTTCTCTTTTCCTTTTCCTGTTATTCACGGGGGTACTTAGGCTGTGTCTTTAAGGGGATTTAGATTCCAATCAGTGGAAGGAGGGCTCCGCTGTGAGGGAGACGAGATGGAGACTGCAGGGGCCACAGGGGAATGTGGGGTGCAGGCAGGTGGGGCAGATGATAGGAGGCCCTGAAACTCAGACAAAGGGATCTGGGCTTGAGAAAGCAAGAGTTGGGAGCTCAGCTTTGTTCGTGTTCTTCTGTTCCTCCCTCCTCTTCCTTCTTCTCTTCTTCTGGTAAGTTCTTGGCACAAAATTAAATAGGTTCAAACTAATATAACTCATTTTCATGAATTCAGACTTCTAGCCAACTTCTCCACGGTTAGAAATAGCTACGACTCTATCATAGGACCGCCCTGGAAAGCAAAATAAAACTGCATCCCCTGACACCTTTTCCGGGTTCCACCGGGCACAGGGTTGGAGGGGAACCACCTTTCAATGTAGGCAATGTTGGCACATTTTTCATGGGGCGCTGTGGCCCGTGAGATGAGGAAGACAGGACAGGGGCAAAGTGGATTCTACTTATCTTTCACCAGAGAGCCCCAGGGCCAGAGTGCACCATAAAACCCGGAGTCACCCAAGGCCTTTTTTTGGGGGGGGGAACGGGTGGGTCTCACTGGGAACAACATCTGCACCTGTTGTAGGCAGTTCCTTTGCCCCTGTATGCCTCTGTCTTTTTAATTGGTATCGAAAACTCCTACCTCAATGGTAGTTGTGCCCGGCACATACTAACAGACTTATAAATGTAACTGCCTGGGGCAGGAATGATCCTGGAACATTCTGACATCTAGAACATTAAGACTAAATGGATTTAATTATCTGAGGAGAAGAAAGCGAGGCAATTGGAGTCACAGGTTCAACACCTGAGTTCAAGTACCTCCCTCATGTAAGAAAATCAATTCATGGAAGGCTGAGGCAGAGAATGGCTTGAATCTGGGAGGTGGAGGTTGCAGTGAGCCGAGATCGCACCACTGCACTCCAGCCTGGGTGACTGAGGGAGACTCTGTCTCAAAAAAAGACAAGAAAAGAAAATCAATTCAGTGCAGTGGGAGAACTGTTATTGAGCAACTACTATCCACCAGACACTGTGGAAAGCACAACAGTTTAGCTCCTCACACTCTTCCTGGTGATTCTCGGGTACAGACTAAGAGGATGCGGGGAGGACTTTTGTATGCTCTTGGCATATACAACAGAGTGGCTACCAGCTGATGTAACCCAATGATGGCTTTCTAAGCCTCAGTTTCCCCATCTGGAAACTTCTTATGGAAAGGCGGTGGGGAAGAAAGGAAAAAACAAATATAAAACTTCTGTTACAATGCCTGACTCTTAGAAAGTATCAACTGACAGGAGTCATCATTTTGTATTTGCTGTAGAACTACCAAAAGATCTTCTATCAACATTTTGTAAGCGAAAATAATAATATATATTCATATATATTAATTATATAGAAATAATATATAATAATATATAAATGTATAGGAGAAATAATATCAAGACACCTAAAAATTTTAATTCTAAACACAGACAATTATTTTATTATTTTTCCTCAACCTTCCATCCTAAATAATATGAATAATAACAACAGAAAGAGCTTACTAATTGTCATGCACTGTCTGAAGCATTTAATCCTCCCAACAACCCTGTGAGGTCCGTGTTGCAATGAACCCATTTTACAGATGAGAAAACTCCAGCACAGAAAGATTCATTCACATGGCCAGTCATGCAACTTTTAAGAATATTCCTTTGGTTTGCATTTCCTTGTATCTGCACCACCCTTTCCTTTCGTGTCTCTCTCTGTCTCCTGACCCGTTTGCAGGTCAATCCCAATCATGGGAACTCTTTTCCTTTAAGCAGTCATCTCTTTCTCTTCCTCTCTGTTCCCACCTGGCCTCTATCAGTGTCCCAGCACAGTGGAAGGCTGCTTGCTACTGCACTGGAAAACTTCTCCAGACATTTCCAAGTTTGCATTCGTCTATCTCCTTTGGAGAATTGCTTCAGTGAGGCCTAACTCTTTCTGAGGAAAGGCCCTTGGGAGAAGAAGCCAGGAGAAGGTAGTGGCACTCCTTTGTCATCAGGAGACATTGGGAGGAAAGAAATGATTTTCGACAGCAGCTGGGCGAGGGGAAATGGAATCACAGAACCTGCGGAAACGGTGTCGGTACAACAGCAGCTGCCAGCTAAAGGCACCCTGCAAGATCTTTTCTGTGTTTCAACGATGAAGTGGACTCCCAACATGGAACAGAGGCGGGGGACTGATACCAGACAGGTGACATTCGGTGCATGCACGAACAGGTCCAGTGCCCCATTTGGAGGCCAGGAAGGCAGCCACCCAGCAGAGCATTAACTAGGGAACCAGACGGTCACCTGCCCCTGCTCACCCCCACCTCCTTCCTCCCCAGGAAAAAGGAAGTCAAGTAGATGAAGAAACGGGGAAGTCCGAGCTGCTGGCAGTGGCATTCAAGGGTCTATATATAAGGTTGACTCTAATCCCCAGCGAGACAAAAGTCTGTGCCATAAAAATGATTAGCAAGGGGTTTCTAGAAACATTTCCCCAGGCCACGGAAAAGGAGAAGGAATATTTTGCACACTGCCTTGTTTCTTAGAAATAATCACAGCTAGGCCTCTTTATAACCGGGGAGTCTTTTTCCTTTCACACGCCATTTGCAGGCGCGTGCCATGGTATTTGTAACTAATTTTCAGTAGCAAGTGGGTCACTGGTATTCACAGAGTCAGGTGCCATTTTGAAAACTGCTTCCCTCTACCCGAATTTCTTATATTTCCAGATGCAGATGCACTTCAGAGATGTTCTAGTGCTGGAAACGCTCCCTTGAAAATATAATTTGATTTTTGAATTTCACCTTAAGATGTTAGAGATCATGTAACTGTCGTCTTCGGAATTCAACGCAGGCCTCCTTAGCCATCACTTTTATAATTTATGAAAATAAGGAAGAGGAAGGTAAAGAACTTCCTCATTGCCAGGCAGTAAAGTCAATGGCAGAGCTTGAGCTTGACTTATTTTGCTAAGAGGGAGGTGTTTTACCCTATAAACTCCAGACAAATTACCCTACACCCAGCAAATATTACTGTTGAGTGCTCACAAAAATTATGCTGATGAAACAATATGGATGTTACAGTGATGAAACTTTCTCTTTTAAAATCACTTAAGGGTGCTTTACGTCCCACCCAAGGCAAGAGGAACGCCAGCGAGGAAGACAAAGAGGCCCGGGGTGGGGCGCATGCCCTCCACTGGTCTGAAAGCTGAGTCACAGGAATCGTACCCCTGCAGCAGGCCAGCCTCTCCAGCGAGAGACACCGCGCCCTTGTGTGGAGATGTCCACAGTAGACAAAGGCAGTTTCGCAATAAAAGAATGCCTGTCACCCTAGGTGCCACCCCGACCCTTAGTTATTATGCACTGGTCCCCAAGAGCAATTTTTGCGCTGCTGTTGCAAAAATTCATCGTAATGAAATAAACGTAAAAGGGGAAAATGTGTTATGAAGGAAGTATTGGAGCGTGCTTTGCTCATGTATTTTTTTCGCCATGTTGTGGTTAGGGTGCACTAGTGGACCCCGGGTGGGGGTGGGGCTCCCCAAAAGCCTGGCAGGCCTCCGGATGCCGTTCCGAGACGCGGCGCGAAGGAGTTAAGCGGGCCGGCGGGTGACATCACCTCATTTACATAGGAGCGCCCATAAAGCGGCGCCCGCCGCACCCCGCCCGACAACTCGGTGGTGGCCACTGCGCAGACCAGACTTCGCTCGTTTTCGTGCGCCTCGCTCCGGTGAGCCCCAGGGCCCCTTCCTCCTTCCTCCTCCTGCCTTCCTGCCTCAGTCCCCTTCCCACGGTGCTCGCCCTTTCATCATCCGCTCCCCTGTGAAGGCATTTCCTAAAGCCGAGCCGGAGTGGTTCTCCCGGGGCAGGCTGCTTTGGGGAGCTGGGGGGGTGCGAAACACCCTAGATGCTGGGTAATGGGGTGGGAAAATCGATGATTTAAGAACAAAACCGAAAAACTGGCGTTTTGCCGTGCTGCTCGGAGGGGACCTTAAAAAATTTCTTAGTGTTTGCCCGCAAAGGTATTGTGCGTTGCCTGGGAGGCTGAGATGGGGGAGAACAGACAGGTCCTTTGTTCTGAGGTTCATCTCCCGAGCCCCGAGCCTCCTCCCAGTCTCGGACGGCTGCGCGGGCTGCATCTGTGCAGCCTGGCGGCGGTGGGGCTGTGCCATGACATTTTCACAGCCCTTCTTGCAGAGACATGTGTGCCAGGGATGCCGAATTGCCGGGAGAGCAGGCAAAACCGGCTTCGGGGCGCGCGGCAGTCGCTTTGTGTGCGGGGCTGCATTGTGGCGCGGGCGAGGAAGCGGGTAGGGCGGTGGTCGGAAGCTCCAGCCGCGGCCGCCGCCTTTGTGAGAGGACGAGAAAGCCAGATCCGGCCCGCATCCTTTGCGGAGAGGCCGCGGCTAGAAAAAGGAAACGCTTTTGCTGCCTGGGTTCCATTTTAAGAATTCTTGCCGATTTTTCCCACTTGAATTCGGAAGTGGCTTTCCTATTTCCTTGTCCTAGCCAGCCTTTAATTTTAAACGCTGTAATGAACAATTCGCATTGGTCAATTTCCTTTATTCTGCAAGATTCGGCTTTGAGAGGCATCCGCCCTCTTTGGTCCCCAGCGTTTTGAAATATGGGGAGGAGGGGCGCGGGGAGTGTCGCCCCTTTTTCTGTAGAAAGAGGAAGCTCGTGAGTGTGGAACGGCAGCGGAAGGAGGGCGAGAAGGGTTTTCAGGCTGCGGGTCGCAGGGCAGAAGCGCAGTTCCCAGCCCAGAGACACTGGGGTGGGTGGCTCTTCCTCACGCTCGCTCTTGGCTTGCTCCCTGCAGCTTTTCCTCCGCGACCATGTCTGACAAACCCGATATGGCTGAGATCGAGAAATTCGATAAGTCGAAACTGAAGAAGACAGAGACGCAAGAGAAAAATCCACTGCCTTCCAAAGAAAGTAAGCTCCGACCCACCCCCATCTTTAGAAAGGCTGGGTGGGAGCGGCCGGTGGGAGGGCAGGAGGCTGGGAGGGGCCGCGGGAAGAATTCGGGAGGGGGGAGTGCGGGGGAAGAGCCGACAGCTGATGAATGTGGCTTGCAAAGGTTAATTAAAAATGGTTTTGCAGCCAACAAACACAGGGCTTTAGTAATTTAGTTATGGAATATTTATTATGCCATATTAATATAAAAACACATTTTTCCGTTAAAATGTACTTCTATTTAGTATATTCAATATACATATTTTATTCCATTATGGAATACCTTGCAGAATGTTTGATTTGAAAAGATGCTTTAAATGAAAGCCCTTTATAGTAGTCTGTACTGAATCCTTTAATCATCTCCCTCCATCTTTTTTTTTCTTTTTCTGGTCACAGCGATTGAACAGGAGAAGCAAGCAGGCGAATCGTAATGAGGCGTGCGCCGCCAATATGCACTGTACATTCCACAAGCATTGCCTTCTTATTTTACTTCTTTTAGCTGTTTAACTTTGTAAGATGCAAAGAGGTTGGATCAAGTTTAAATGACTGTGCTGCCCCTTTCACATCAAAGAACTACTGACAACGAAGGCCGCGCCTGCCTCTCCCATCTGTCTATCTGGCTGGCAGGGAAGGAAAGAACTTGCATGTTGGTGAAGGAAGAAGTGGGGTGGAAGAAGTGGGGGTGGGACGACAGTGAAATCTGGAGTAAAACCAAGCTGGCCCAAGGTGTCCTGCAGGCTGTAATGCAGTTTAATCAGAGTGCCATTTTTTTTTTGTTCAAATGATTTTAATTATCGGAATGCACAATTTTTTTAATATGCAAATAAAAAGTTTAAAAACTTAGCTGGTGTGTCTGGTCTCTGGAAGGATCGCGGATGAAACCTTTGCAAAGAGGCCTACCTCTTGGTCCACTGGGGAGGGACAAGCATCTGGTGACTGGATAAATTCCCTTATGGTGTAGAAATGGGTTTTACCCAGGTATGCAAAATACCTTGTCTATACTAGGTGATCATTTTCTCAGGCTGATTGAATTCCTAGTATGAGTTGTATGAGAACTTTAATAAAAATATATTTGCAGTTCTTATGGGTTTTGATAAGCTGACATTGCATTTATTGCACGTGCTCAAGAAAATGAAGGTGATAATTTACAGCACAGTATCTTATTTCAGGCATCAAATTGAACTTGGTTATTTAACCAAGTGCTAGTATTAACAGACGAGTAAAAATTACATTTTTAGCAGCTGCGTTAAGGAATTTAGGACTTTTGCTTACTCATTTTCTAATGGCCGGTTTCTATATTAGAGTTCAATATTTACAATTGCTTTAATGAATACAGTTAACCATTAGTGAACATGATTTTAAATTTATTGAGTCCTCTTAGTTTGAATAATCTTTGGATTTAAAAGATACTTATTCGATCTTTTGGGTTTAAAGGACACTAGCAGGACACAGGTGAGATTTGTACTAAGTTTAAATCCAGCAGGAATTAATTGACTCACATTTAGGTCTTTAAGTCCTTGATAACTTCTCAATCATCGGAAGTTATTTTCGCTGATGGGTAAAAGCAAAGTCCTTGGTGCGGAAAGACGGGAACAACATCAATTTTTAAGAGTTAAAAAAGATTTGCCATTCTATAAGGTCCTTAATGGATTCCTCGGTTCTGTAGGGAAGAGTGGAGAATTTTTTTTAAATAAGCACCAATTTTATTAAGCCGAAACAGCATTTAAGAAGGCTTTTAGTTGACTGAATGCTCTGCAAAGCTAAATTTTACAATGCAAATGTCCAAGAAGTTAAACATTTTTCTCTCAAAACCAACTTATGAAAATACCCTCTTTGAAGCGGAGGGGTAGGGAAAATTGTTGATCACTATTAAACTGGTTGCTTTCATTTCCTTTGCTCAACACTTATTTTGAGAAATGCACAGGAAACCATTTACCTGTGGTTTAGACAATCAAGTAGACCATCAGGCTAGAAGCCTTGCTCTGCGTTGCAAGGGAAGGGGTGCGTACCCGCTGCTGCAGAGGCTGCTGCAAAACCTGAAGTGCCACAGCCCGCTCAGCTGGGTGAAGAGAGGAGTAAGCACAAAGGCTCTGGAGCCATCTCAAGATGGAGACGGGCCTGGAGCCCTGCAGTTTTCTTTTCTTGCCTATAAGGAAGGGTGTGGGCACAGTGCAAATGCCCAAGGCACAAAGAGAAACCATTCCCACGTAGGTTTTTGCTGTGTGCCTTTTTCAAACAATGCAAAGACGAAAGAAGATTTTAAGAAATTAACACAGCTCCAGAGTTCCTGTTGAAGAAGGAACATTTACGAAAAGGGATGATTCATGGAATAGAAGGCCTTTCTCTCCTAAAGGGACAAAGCTAAAACATAGCAAAAAATAAAAATGAAATAAAAAATCTGGTAAAGGTTGAATTCAGGCTGCTTGACGTGTGGAATGGGGAAATTCAGAAGCTGCTTCTGCCCATATCACACTCTATACACTTAACTGCTGCACCTGGGGATGGGAGAGACTCCATTTATTTATTTTCTAAATTTTGACGGGGGATTCTTTGTTTTTCCCAAGAGAGATTCTTCCCAGAAGGGCTGGGGGTATTTATGAATCAGTGTGGGGATATATGTTCCTGCTACGTAGGACTTGGGAGTCGACAGTATTTTTCACAGATACAAAGGGGACATTAGGTTTACCCTTAGAATGAGAGAATGTTGGGATTGAAGGAGACCCTATGACTGTTTCTCTTCCCCACAGGAGAAAACAGGCCAAGGTAGCTTAAGTAAGCCCTGAAGGTCACGCAGTTTAGTCTGGGATTTCTGCAAATTTTGAATTGATCAAGACAAAGCAAAAATAAAGGAAATAAAAAGAGACTAACTAAAGGACCTTTGAGATTGAGCTGGCTTCATTTTGAAATCTCGCAAATTTGTCAACCTTCACAGCCACATTTCCAGCCTTCCAGTGGTTGGAATTTTAAAGCTATTTTTATTTCTTTTGGGAGAACAACACAGCTTTTGGGCTGTGTATGCAAAGATTGAGTGTGTATGGGGGGGAGGGGGGATTCAAAATCTTAACAAACCTTGAGTCTCTCGGCTGTGTAAGAGACCCATTATAGTCAGAATGAGGTATTGTCTCTTTTAAACGCACAAGGAAGGTCTGTTTATTTTCCCCCTAAAGAAGCATCTAATTCCTCAAGAGACAAAAAGAAAATATTTTTGCATTTTTTTCTAAACATATGGGGTCAATTTTGTGCTTACTAGAAAGAACAGTGCATTTTAGAGACAACATTACAGACAAAAAGTCAAAATAAAAAATCTTGAGTCTTTCTTTGTTCAAGAATGTAAACTTAAAGCATTGTTTAAGAACGTTGAAAGCACTCAATGCTTCATTTACCCTAGTAGCCTTCACTAGCCTAGCAAGAAAATAAGAAAAAATACCCTCCCCACTCCACACTCCCCAAATTCTTTCTTTTAGATTACGCTTTCAAGAGTGGCTTACACTGCAATCTAAGAGAATCAAACACACCAATTTGGGACTCAACTAGGTTTTCTCTGTATGTAATGAGAAGGGGTGAAATTACAAATGTAAGGCAGAGATGTACAACAAAGCAAGCTAGGAAGAAAATATGTTTCTAAGACCTGTATTTACCTAGTTTATATTTTCCTTGGACACTTGCATAGCATTTTATTTCTCTAATCACATTGTCGTGCTAGTACCATCTTTGCTCCTGGCTTCTGAAACTTTTGTAGGCAGGGCTGGTGCATGCTACATTCATTGTGTGCATACACCATGTACTCTTCCTTCTGTGCCCCAAAGCGCCTTGCATAGTATTAGACACATATTAGGGCTTTAATATACACTTCTCCCCTTACTTGATGGAGACTTCACTTTATTTATTTATTTATTTATTTATTTTTTGAGATGGGGTCTCACTCTGTCACCCAGGCAGGAGGGCAGTGGCGCAATCTCAGCTCACTGCAACCTCCGCCTCTCAGGCTCAAGATCTTCCTACCTCAACCTTCCGAGTATCTGGGACCACAGGCATGCGCCACCATGCCCAGCCAATTTTCTTTTTTTTTTTTTCTGCCATGTTGCCCAGGCTTGTCTCAAACTCCCGAGCTCAAGCAATCCACCTGCCTCGGCCTCCCAAAGAGCTGGGATTACAGGTGTGAGCCACCACGCCCAGTCAAGACTTCATTTAACATGCTGGTTTTGGGGTCCCTTTGAACATGTGAATGTCATGTTAGACATCACAATTTTAAATATGTTTTTAAAAATATATTTAAAGAGCTTTGAACAGTAATTTGCCACTGACCTTGGTTGTGCTGATTTTTTTTTTTTTTTTCCTGAGACGGAGTCTCACTCTGTTGCCAGGCTGGAGTACAGTGGCACGATCTCGGCTCATTGCAACCTCTGCCTCCCAGGTTCAAGCAATTCTCCTGCCTCAGCCTCCCGAGTAGCTGGGACTACAGGCGCACGCTGCCATGCAGGGCTAATTTTTTTTTTTTTTTTTTTTTTTTTTTTAGTAGAGACAGGGTTTCACCATGTTGCCCAGGCTGGTCTCAAACTCCTGAGCTCAGGCAATCCACTCACCTCGGCCTCCCGAAGTGCTAGGATTACAGGCTTGAGCCACCGCGCCCGGCCAGTTGTGCTGATTTGAATCAATACTTATAGCCAACTCCATATTATGAAGCCAGAGCACTGGATCATTAGTTCACTCCACCAGTTCATGCCAGGTATTTCATTTGCCACAGAGACATGGTTGTAAATAAGAAGATGTAGTCCCTGCCCTTCTGTGCCCTCCATTAGTTACGAGATGCATTTTTCATCTGACTCCAAGTGGAAAATACTAAAATTATTCTTTTCCATTTTTAGGGTACATGATGAGTCTAAGGGCTTTGGATTTCTAAATGAGGTTTAATACCTATTCTTTGCTTTACAGTGACCATGTTTCCAAATACATCTAGAATGATTAATTCAAATCCCTCCAAAAGTTCAATGGTGAGTGAAGTTTGAAGGAAACTGATTGATTCTTCACCTTGCAATCAAATATTCTATTAGCACAGAAAGATTGGGCATGATAACTCTTGCCTGTTATTTTTTGAGAATACTTTCTGAGGAATGCCCAAAGATCTAAAAATGGACTGCATGAATAGCATTTTGTTGTTGTTGTTGTTGTTTTTTCTGGGCAGGGTCTTGCCCAGGCTGGAGTGCAGTGGCTCTATGATAGCTGCACTATAGCCTCAAACTCCTGGGCTCAAGTGATCCTCCCACCTCAGCCTCCTGAGTAGCTAGGACTACAGGCATGTGCCACCAGGCTTGGCTAATTTAAGTTTTTTTTTTTTTTTTTAAGTAGAGACAGAGTTTTGTTATGTTGTTCAGGCTGATCTCAAGTTCATGGCCTCAAGTGATCCCCCTGCCTCCACCTCCCAAACTGCTGGGATTACAGGTGTGAGCCACCACACCCAACCTGGATAGATAGCATTTTAAAATCTATCTTTTGCTAGGATTTTGTGGCTTAGATGTTGAATCTCCAGAGAAATACTTCTTATTGCTAAATCCTTCCCCTTCCTCTGTTTGCCTTCTTTTTCCATTCAACCGTATGATTGTTGGGGGCTGAAATGGTTGCTCAAATTTTGAAATCCCTCAGAGAACCAAGCAAAATGATGACCACTTGTATCCATAAGCACAGCACCTGGCTGGCTGAGGGCTGGTCGCATTTGTTTAGTAGGATTCCACAGTCTGGAACTTCAATGGAGGGGGACAATAATCTATTCAAAGCAGTTGGAGCTATTCCTGTCACGTTATTGTCAAACCACAGGAATTATGCCTTTCCTCATTACCACATTGAGC